CATTTAGCTACTTGATCATGAAAGAAATAATTCGACTCCATGAAGGCATCATTAAATTCAAAGCAGATAAAGCTCTTACCTGAGTTACAACAACAGTGCAAGCACCAGCAGCAGCAGCAACAACCAAGTTAGCTTTTGTTCCAACAGATCTAGCTCCACTCTTTCGCAAATACAATCGTTTTAAATAGCTGTAACTATAGAAGTAAACAAATTGCGAGATGAAAGATTGCAAATTCTTGGTGCCGAGTCCTTGGTAGAGTGAAAGAAACTGGCGTTTAGAAATTGCCTCCCATAATACATCGGAAAGGTTTCTGAGCAAACCAGAAAAGAAATTAAGTTAATAAATTGTATAACAAACTAGTAATCTGATGCAGTAGCAAACAAGTTAGCTCCATCAATAAATTCCTTGATTTTCAAAATAAACTTACAAGTGCTCTGCAGTTTGCAAGATGATGTTGCGTCATAAAGAAAACATAAATCAGTCACTTACTATGTTGATCATCGTTCACTCAATGTCGGTGGACTAAGTTTCTGCCTCTACCATATCGAGTCACTGATTTAAAGGTAAAAAGAAAGTGAAAAGAGAGTCCAGTTAATGTCATACAAGGAGAAGGCTATTACTGTTCTTTATATGCATTCTCCGGGCGCCAGGGCGCCAAATCACCCTCCTTGTTCTCATAATTGTCCATGCTCCCATTGCATTATTCTATAATAAATCATGAATGACCAAACTTTCCAGCAGTAATTTTCTTTTGGAGGTTGGGTGGGTTGAAGGTTGTGGGATGGATCAGATGATGTGAATCAAAGCAAAGACAAATCGGGGGCGTGGTAGGTTAGCCTGATCATTTTGTCCCAAAGTTTGAAACGCCCAAAGGGTTTGGATCAACCGGAATTAATTGGTTTATCCAAAGAAAAGTTCTAGTCGGGAATACCAGATCCAAGTGATCCTACCAAACCCAATTCCTCAAAGTAAAAAATCTTGAAAAATGGGAATGGTTACAATGCAATACCAACCGATTATCCAGATTGAAATTGTCTAATCGTTAACCCCCGATTAATTTTGATGAGAAAAAAGTGATAAAATGGCCCACGATTTCTTAACAAAGGATGTTTGACTGCAAAGAACAACCTGAGCAAAAGGGTTTCGATATGAAAATGAAAATGAGATTTCAAACGAGTGATGGTTTCCATTAACGGGTTTCAGTGCGATGAAGGATGCAAGTGAGTCAACGCAGTACACAAATCACTTCCAGAGATTCACCCAACAATCTTTCTACCAGCATCATAGCCTATAAGACCTTAAGCATCATCTCCCTCGCGTGATCGATTACAAATGGAAGAAGAAGAAGAAGAAAAAAAAAAGAAGGAATAATTTAATAGTTAGAAAGAACTTGTATTACTTAATTGTTTGTGGATTTAGAAAGGAACAATAACCCTTTTCTCGAGCAAAAGAAAAAGGATTTCGACAACCAAAAAGCAATCAGGGGAGCCGATCCTCACAACTACACGATCCATCTACGGTTTCAGATTAAGATCGTGACATCACAAAAAGCAAGTAAGCGGATCAGGTTGCAATATTTAAATGAATTATTATGAACCGAAAAGAAATCGTTCTAAAGACAACAAATGAATGATCAGCAGATCAGCTTGCGAGATTTGCATGAGAATTATTTAAAACCAAAAAGAAATCGTCATGGTCTATTTTTTTTAGGAGAAAACGAGCGATTAGCATACCAATTCGCAAGATTTATACATCGATTATTAAAGACCAAAAGCGATCGTCCTTGTCTGTCTAAAAATATTGTTTATTTTCGAGGAAAAGACAACGAAGGAACAAGAAGACGAAGGGAGGGAGGGAGTGAGAGGGATAGGGAGAGAGAGAGAGAGAGAGAGAGAGAGAGAGTGAGAGGGAGGGAGGGACTGACCTGTACTTGCGCTGGCCGTGGGATTGGACTTCGGCCTGGTACTTGGTCTTGCAGGTGTCGAGGGGGTAGAGCACGGTGGTGCTCACCAGTGCCCCCACCGCCCCAGACGTCGCCTCCGTGAGCGACTCCCAGTCCAACCCATCCGCCATCTCCCCCTCTCCCGATCTCTCTCGCGAGCGGCCCTCTTTCTTCTGCTATCCCTCTCGATGAGCGGATGCACGAAATAACCAACCCGAGAGGAGCTGGCGATGGGTAGCTCCACCGCAATGAGCGTCGTCGACCGCCGGCTGCGCCCCATGATCACTCGACGGCCATAAAACCCCCAGCACGCGACGGGGCTCGTCAGATCTGGAGCCTAAAACACCCTTACCCAACCATGCCGAATCACCCAAAAAAGGCTTCGCGGCTGACGCCGCCTCTCGCGTTCCCGAGATGAGTGGTCACGTGTATCACTGATGTTTTAAGCCACGTCACCCAATTAAAAGTATAGGGTGATTCGGTCAGGACGGAAAGAATTCTCCAGCTTATGTCCACCATGATAAGACGTATGAGTCTTCATCAACCTACCAAACAAACGTCACGTGCCCGAAACCTCTCGCATTTTGTCCTCCTTTTGTGTTTTCATACCAATTATTTAATCGTGTTATGAATAAAAATTTATATATTACGAAATTAATTTGTTCGGAAAAAAAAAGAAGATTTGGGTGACTTGCTTTGAATTTTGGTCGATTTTCGAGACGGGTACGTATAGATGAGAAAAATAGAAATTTGATTAGATGATCCAATAATAAATAAAATATTTTAAATCATTATCCCATTAATTAAATAAAATAGTAAGTAGTAATAACATCACGTGGGATATCAGTCGGACGGATAAGGAAGTGCAGACTACATCTTCATCGACGTGGCTGACGAAGGGAATGACGGATTCGGGTCCATCTTAGAATGGGTTCGGGTCCGAGTAGGGCAACATCACATTATGAGTTCTTAAGCTACGTGACTCGCGTCTTTTATATACTGTAGCAAAGTACTTCATATTTGGCTTGACTTGTTTCCAATCGGATCACATCATGCACTAACCTAAGTATCGAAAAAATTGAGATGAAAAGCCTTCAGCACAAACATGCTATGCAAGACCATCGATGATTAGGAGATGACCCCATTGCCAAGACAAAGCCCCACTACCACGAGATAACTCTTAGTTAGGAGATGAACCCATAACAAAGAATACTCTTATTCCTCTGTCTAACCTTTCCCTTTTAAGACCAAATTGTCCCGATGAATCATCTCGCCAGTAGACCTCTTGTGTCGGGTCGCCACGTCAGCCTCCCACATCAGTAAGGAGAAGACATCAAGATATATTTGCATCTTTGACGGTGACTTGTCCACAATATACATAATAGATATTTGTGAAAAAAAAGCACCCCAATGAGAAATATTAGAAAACGAGGGTTTTTCCATTTATTCACCCTATAAACTGTATAGAAACATTGACGCACCGATGTGACTCCAAATCGAAGGCTTTCATAACGTATTGGCTCAGTCAGTTTAGGCTCATGCCACGTTGGTTCTTATCTATCCCACCTTCCTCGTTAGAGTGGATGCAAAGCAACTGGCCCCAGCGGCACGTCCAATCACCATAGAGGTAGACTTTGCCAAAGCAGAAAGCGTGGGATGTTTGGTTTTCGTGGTATAAGAAGGACGGGTATATGTTGCCCACAACGTATAATAAACGAGCGTCCGTTCGCCTATTATCAAAGGGATTGAGCCGAAAAACCTTCAATGCAAATCTATTATGTAGGGCTATTGACGATCGGGAGATGATCCCATTACCAAGACAGCCCCACTACCAAGAGATGACTGTTAGTTACGAGATAAACCCATAATGAGGAAGACTCTTATTCCTTTGTCTCACATTTTCGTTTTAAGACCAAATTGCCCTGATGAATCGTCTCCCCAGTATACCTCTTATGTCGGATCGCCACTTCAACTTCTCACAATACATATGCCTTTTTGACGGTGAATCAATCGGGTCATCTCACCTATCCACATTATACATGATAGATATTTGTGAAAAAAAGCACCCCAATGAGAAATATTAGAAAACGAGGGTTTTTTTTTCGTTTATTCATCGTATAAACTGTATAGAAATATCGATGCACCGATGTGACTTTAAATAGAAGGCTTTCATAACGTATTGGCTCGGTCAGTTTAGGCTCATGCCATGTTGATTCTTACCTATCCCACCTCCTTCGTTAGAGTGGACGCAAAACAATTGGCCCCAATGGTACGTCCAATCACCATAGAGGTAGACTTTGCCAGAGCAGAAAGCGTGGGATGTTTGGTTTTCGTGATATAAGAATGACGGATATATGTTGCCCATAACGTATAATAAACGAGCGTACGTTCGCCTACCGGCGAGAAGGCTATATTCTCGTCGGTATAAAAGTAATGGTACTTTTCTTATCGGTCCCATCCACCTCCCTTTTCATTGGGGGGCCCATCGCAGCTTCGATGAGAGCGCGAGCGCAGGTAGATGACGGGTACCGAAAGTGGGTACGACATATTTTCGATAACCATCGTGCCACTTATCGGCTCCAACAATCCATGGCCGTCCATCATTTTCCGCCCATGGAACGCACGAATCTTAAGGACGTGCTCTTTTGCGCGGGATCCCTCGAACGGAGGAGGGAAGAAAAAATCGATCGATGCTTTAAAGCACTCGAATGAATTACCCGTTATTTTACCTGCCTATCTGTGTCGGATCCACTGAATGATTCCTCCTATCAGAATACCGGTAGTTTTTGCGGGTAACGGCGGCATCCTTTTCAAGATCCCGTAAGGTCTTCGCCCTCTTCTCCTACTTCGGTGGAGATCCTCTCCGATCACACTTTGAAACCAAACCGTCCTCTTCACAGATCACAGCCGTTGGATGCTGGCGGGCTGGTTTGATCCACGATCGCAACCATAGTATCATCGGGGAGGATCGGAAGTTGGTTATCCAATAATCCGATTAAAATAATGGACGCAATAAAATAAACCCTTTATGTTCAATAGTTTTCCCTCTCTCTGCGTCTCTTCGTTGGGATCGATGGAGGCGGTGCAGCAGCAGCTGAAGAGGCGGAAGAGGCAGAAGCGGAAGCTGGAGGAGGAGGACGCCGCGTCGGCGGCGGAGTCGGAGGCGGGAGGGGAGGGCGGTGGTGAGGAGATCTGCTGCCAGCGATCGCGGCAGGCGCTCGCCCGTGAGGTCAGGGCCAAGGTCCAGGTCCTCGAACGGACCTTCTCCTGGCGGTTCGCCGATCGCGCTGCCGCCAAGCGTGCCACCCACATCCTCGCGGAGCTCGCCAAGGACGGTTTGCCCACTTCCCCTTTACCTTTCCTGTTTCTTCCTGAAACCTTTGGGTCTTGGGTTTGATAGATTGTGTGTCGATCCTTTCTGCAGAGAAGGTCGTGAACGTGATCGTGGAAGAGGGGGCGGTGCCGGCGCTTGTAAAGCATCTGCAGGAACCGCCGCCGCTGCTGGGAAGCGAAGGCAGCGCCAACGAAGGAGAGCGTCCTTTCGAGCATGAGGTTGAGAAGGGGAGCGCGTTCGCCCTCGGTCTTCTCGCAGTGAAAGTATCTGCTGTGGTACTTCTATATTCTTTATGTGAAGGTGAAAACTAAAAAATAGTTGTGACTTTGGCCATCATAGTTACCAAGATTGGGACTGGGAACTACATTTTATGTGTGGTAAAATAATGAAAGATGGGCTTCTACTTTGATTGATGAGAAGGAAAGCAAAAGGAATTGTTTGATTTCTAGGGAAGTTATGCAATTTCGGATGTTTGGAGGGGTGTGGATAAATAAAGAACAATTCAGTTTAATGTTTTGGGATCTCGTAGAATCTTGGCATTCCACCTAGTCTTATATTGTCTTGGCTCTATTGATTGCTTGATAAATTGTACCTCTTGGGATTGCTGTAATTGGTAATTGGTTTAGTTTCTATATTGTCCTTAAGCTATGCAAGACCAGGATGCTATCACATGAAATCTCACACCTGTTAAGAAGCTGAAGATGATTCATATGATTGATTTCAACATGGATGGCAGTATAACATGTTATTATAAATACACAAGTAAATAGATAATAGGAAACTTAAACCAATAGTGCAGTGAATTTTATCTTTGAATCAAACACATCCTCGCTCGAGCATGTTGAATAATGACAAAAGATGAGGAAAAAGAAATTTGGTCTGCTTTAACTTGGATTACATTTTTTCGTAAAGGAGAAGGGTGATGGAGGGAAGGTGAGGAGGTGAAAGCAACTGTAAAGGGCTTACATAGGGGAAAGAAAGGTTCTCAAATAAAATCTTACATTTCTCTTTATTAACTTGTGTCATGCATGGCAAAAAGTACAACCCAATTTATGGTAAAAATAATTTCAACTTTGATGCTACATGATTTATGATTTATCATTGTGTATAAAAATACTGTCAAAGCTTGTTTTTTTGTTTTTTCTACTTAGCAAGTAGATTGAGATAGGGGTAGGAGTTCCTACATACCAAATCTCTATTAATGATCACAATCTTGCTTTATTAAAAAATTAGACCATATACTTTTTTCAGTAACATGGATGCTGCGATAGTAGTGTTGTCACACAGAAGTTACATATGACATATGAAACTATTTCTCAGATGTATAATTACAAATTGAGAGGTATGTCTTGGAACATTGGTACGTTGACTTTTGAGCACACTTATGACACTTGGTGATGTAAGTTTTGTAGAGAACTTCTTTTAGTACTTACAAGATGCACTCCCATGTTACATAGATTTTGTATTAGATTATCAGGGAAGACACGACTCTTGTTGATCCTAAAATACGCTCAAGCGTTGCTCAGCTTTCTGACTTTCTTTGCCACAACATGTGAGCATCCTCTGCATGCTTTTATTCTCTATGAAAGGCACCTCATCTGCATGATTTAGTGCTCATATCCTCTTCAAGTTGTATAATAACTTATATATATTTTTCTTAAGGGAGATGTATTCTAACTTGTATTTCAAATCCTATTAACCTCAGATTTACATCATTAGGTCCATATTCATCTACAAGCAAATTTGTTAAGATTTAGCCAAAATAGATAATTAAAACTATATTTGACAAATTTTGTTCGAGACACATTAACAGCTCTGATTTCTTTTTCATCATATCCTATTTCAAATTAGTATCATATCTCTTCTTCTTCATCACATCCTGCACATTGTCACTATAACACTTTTTTTATCCTGTTCTACATCAAGTCACCAGAGATGTTTTTGGTCATTTCTATGTCAAGTTGTTATTGAAGCATTTTCTTGAACTTGTCCTACATCCTTTTGGCATCAGGACTGGGATTTTTGCCTTGTGTCATCTTCGATTGGTTGCTATAGCTAGCAAGTCATTTATTATCCTCTGATGCTGGTCTTTCTACCAAAGTCTACTCTGTTACTTCATGCTTCTGTGTATAAAAACTTACATTAGAAATTATAAAATTATTGATTTAGATCTCACTTTTCTGATCCAACTTCTCTTCTGTTCCAAGATGTGTAGTATGAATGACAAAGGTTGTAATATGAAAATTTGGAGAAGTTCAGAAATCACTTCATTTAGTCATCTCTTGCTATGAAGATTATTTTTTTGCATTTGATTTAGTAGAATGATAATATATTTACTTAATTGGATTTATTTTTCGTGCTTGCACACAAGGAACTAAAATTTTGTGTCTTAATCAATGTTTAGCTTCTACTGTTAATTAAAAAAAAATATTTCTTTGGATTGTGGGAACATTTTCATCACTATGAAGTTATATGACTTTTCTCATGAAACTTCTCTTGTTGTAACAGCCTGAACATCAGCAACTCATAGTTGATGCGGGTGCCTTGCCTTTGCTTGTTGATCTCTTAAAAAGGCATAAAAAAGGTTTCAACTGCCAGGTAGTTAATAGTGTTATTAGGAGAGCAGCTGATGCAATTACTAATCTTGCTCATGAAAACAGCAATATCAAAACTTCTGTCAGGTTCTTTCACATGATACTTAGTTGCCTTTATGAATTATTTAGCATGTTTCCTTTTCCTGATGGTTATATACCATGCAGGATCGAAGGTGGGATACCGCCTCTCGTTGAACTGCTGAAGTCTACCGATGCTAAGGTACAGAGAGCAGCTGCAGGTGCCTTGCGGACATTGTCATTTAAAAATTATAGTAACAAGAACCAGGTTATTATGTTAACTGTTTTAATCTTACTTTGATATGGAATAATTTAAGGGTGCTATTTTACTTATTTTTTGGTTTAAAATTACTTTACAGATTGTGGATTGCAATGCTCTTCCTACACTGATTCTCATGCTTCAATCAGAGGATGCTGCCATCCATTATGAGGCGGTGAGTCAATGCACTTCAACATATGTCTTGATAGCATGAAGATGTGGACTAAGATTGTATCTTATTTCATGATTTGGATTTGTGCAAGTTGAATCTTAGGTTATTTATATGGAGGTTTGAGTCATACGGAGCATTATACAGTCAAGCTTGGCAACTCAGTATTATTGGTAGGGTTCAACTCAGGTCAAGTTCGGATCATCTTGAATGTGTTCAAACCCTACCTGTTATACTAATGATCAGGTCAAATGACTGGCCGACCCGTCCCATGCTCCAAGTTGCCTGAAGTGCACAAGAAGAATTTTTTTTTTGCACCTTAAAAAAGGTTAAAATCTTAAGAGAGAGAAACCCTCTTTGAATCCTATATACAGTTTCTCACTCTTTAGTTCCATCTCTACTCTTCACATATGCCCTGATCCCACTATCTGTTTCATCACTTTTCTTCCTTCCTAGTTTTTGGGCTTCGGTTCTCTCCTTTGCCCTAGACTCCCACCAATCAACTTCCCCTCACTTTGTTTCCTCCATTCACTCTTAGTGACTTGGTCAAGGATAGTGCCAGATATCAATGATTGCCAAGTGATAGCACTTGGCTTATATTATAGACGGTGATGCAGGCATACAAATTCTGGAAAATGAAGGTTCTTCTTGATATGAGGGAGAGATTCTTGTGGACACCAA